TGGAAATTAGTTGATCAACTATTGGGAAATTTTTCTGATTTCTTCCACCACCCTATGTAAAGCATGAACCAAGCATGTTACATGTTCCATCTTCGAATAAAATACTTTAATGGCTTTACCTGCTTTGACCATATAAAGGGCAGCATCACTCAATAAAAACAATACATGATCATGTTTAATAGCATTGGGCCAGATAATTTGAAGGGATCTATCGAACAGTTTTGAAATTGTACTATAATTTACCTTTTATAGGACTTCTGTATTTATTAGGAAATGTTTCCCGCAGCCATTCAACTCAAGAGTTCCCACAACAACATTCGCTACATATAGAGCCCTTCAGTGTCCGTAGTTTCATCTAAAGTTACCCAAATTTTCTTATTTTCTACTTAAGATCTAATTTTCGCAATAGTGTCTATATAGCACTGAAAAACATATCCTTTCCTCAAAGTGGACTCATCGGGAATTATTTTATTCGTATACTTCTCAAGAAAATGTTTAAACGTTTCGTTCTGTAATTTTTGCATTGGAATATTTGCGGATAATAATGCATGACACAGATCATGATTAAAAGAAGATTTCTTAGATGGTTCGGTTAGGTTAAGCTTTGAATCTTACTCGTACTTTGTTCTTGTTGTATCTTTTTCAGTTCAACTCCATTAATGTGTTTATTAATATGCTGCTCGACGGTAAATTTTTTGTCAGCCGCCACTTTTACCTCGCAAATTTTTTAAAATAATACAGTCCCATCGGCTGAAAAAACTTCTCTGCCAAAATGATTTACAAACGAATTCAATCGAGTGTTTTCTGACACTTTGTATTTAGGCATTTTTGTAAAATAAATAAATTAAATATATAAATTGAAGAGTCGGTCACAGCAGTCGATAATCAATAAAATAAACACGTCCGTCTTTCACATTCACAACAGTTTATTAAATAATCGTAGATCACGACAACAAATGATAAAGAGATTAAACGTCAATAAACGACAAGCTAATGCAAATTGAATGTTTTACAATAAAATGTAACTTTCAACGAGAAAAATGCGAATATATATAAAAAAAGTACAAAAATGAATAAAATGCACTAAAAACACTAAATATTGACCGAAAAGCATAAAATTCCCTAAAAATGCAAAAAATGCAAAATAAAAATTGCGCCATTAAACTCTATATTCCATGAATCAAATTTCTATAAAGATGAGCCTTGAATGTAAGCATTAAAAAAAAGATGCAAATGCATCAAGTTCCGGGCCCTGCTAATATGTAATCGCTGTAACGTTAAAAGGTTGGAGGAGGGGCCGGAGTAAAAGCCGCGTTCACAAAATTTTTGTTTAGGTTACCTATTTGAGCTGGGATATATTCAAAACTTTTTCCTACCTCCATTAAAAACTTAAATTATGCTTACGATACGTGTAGTATTGTCTATGCGCCATGCGTGTAGATAAGTCTGCATGTATATTATGGGCACGTTAAAATCTAGATACCTATCCATAGAAAAATTTCGAATTTGATTTTAATGAGTTACGTAGGTACTATTCATCGCAGTATTTAAAACCTACTGGTATTCGATTTTTACAACAAAATCATTCAAAGAAATAAAAACATTATATAGACAATGGTTCAAGAAATAAAATCTCTTAGGAAATGGCTATATTATTTATGTTTATTTAGCATTTACTTGCAATTATATTGATTATTAAGATCATGTGCATTGTTTCTGTATTACAAACGTACGACATAGAAAAATATGTGAAAAATTCCAGTTTTGTATAGATGTTTAATAATAGACCTATTACTAAACTTAAAGATATTTACCGAAAAACGGTAGAGTGTAAATTTCGCCCGAAATGAACAGGTAAAAACAGGCCTTTGGTAAATTCCGCCCAGGAAAATATACAGGTACAAAAATGGGTTTGTAAATACCGCCCGGAAAAATAAATATTTTTTAACTAAGTGTTCCGTGACCATAAAACGCGACCGTACTGTTCGCGGCGTGGCTCGTTATACAGTATTTGGAAGTTCAAAATTTTAGAACACGGAACAATCCTATCATACGACAATCTTTAATCATGTTATATCTTATCACCTTTGACTATAATATTGTGGACCCAATAATTGGAAACGTCAAAAAGAAAAATATGTGTTCAGCAAATTCCAGTTTTGTATTGGTATAGAGTGACCTTTTACTAAACTTAAAGGTAGGTACCTAAGAAGATTATCTGTGTTTTCAGTTAGCAAAAAAATGTCAAGCGTAGGATAGAACAACTCAGACTGTAGTTCTTGCTAAGCAACCAAATTTTCACACTACAGAGAACAACATTTACAGGGCAACATCGTTATTATGTTTCGTTATCAAAAATACGTGAGAAGTTCTTATTGTTTAAAAATTCAATTTAATAAGTTGGAGCTTAGAAACGGTATCAAGAGATAAAAATAATTATACAATGGAGGAAAAGGCTTGTCAATCGTATTTTAATCAAACAGTTCGCCAAGACTTGAACGGTAAAATTACCATTTAAAACCGAAATAAAAGGAATAGGCAATTCTTACCCGGCTGCGCTACGACGTTTTTTTTATTGGAAAAGAGATTTAAATTCAACACTATATTAAAACTAGAATATATTAAACTTACGGAGGAATATATTGTGTTAAATCGTATGGAAATCGTCTTGGAAAACAAAAAAAAGAAATCGGCGTAAATGACTATTTTTTACCGCACCATGCCGTGATAAATACAAATAGTAATACTACTAGACTGCGCGTGGTATTTGATGCATCATGCAAAATGGACATTGGATTTAGTTTGAACTTTGTGTTGTTAAAGGGTCCTACTATACAGGAGGAATTGATAACTATTTTGGCTCGTTTTAGAAAATATAAATTCGCGTTTTCCGCAGACGTATCAAAAATGTATCGCCAAATATGGGTGGATCCGCAGCAGCGTAGTTATCAAAAAATTATTTGGCGTGCAAGTCCTGAAGAACCACTGCGTACCTATAAGTTGAACACGGTAACGTACGGGACTGTTCCAGCTTCATTTTTGGCGACCGGGTGTTTAGCTAAGTTAGCCGAAAAAGAATACAACATGTTTCCTGATTTCCTGCAACGTCATTAAATCCGATTTTTACATAGACGATTATTTGGGTGGTTCGGACACCAAAGATAACGCATTAAGGTTACGTAATTCGTTAAACGAAGTTATGCTCCGGGGTGGTTTTCCACTAAGAAAATGGATGTCAAATAGTTCTGAGCTACTCGCCGATATGCCAAGTATAGGAAATAAATCAACGACCATAATGGAGATAAAAAATAAAATGACTAAAATTTTAGGATTACTATGGTGTCCGGAACGCGATGTTTTTAAACACAAGATTGAAATAACAACGATCAACGATCAACGATCTACCAGTTACCAAAAGAAATATATTATCACAAATCGCGTCATTATTCGATCCACTAGGACTCGTTAGTTCTATAGTAATACGCGCAAAAATATTAATGCAAACATTATGGCAATTGCAATGTGATTGGGATAAACCTGTACCCATCGAAGTTCAAAAAGAATGGAAAAGTTATGTAAGTTCTTTAAATTATTTACGTCAATTAGAAATACCTAGACATCTTGGTACCGAAACTGACTATGAAATACAACTACATGGTTTTGCCGACGCTAGCTTATTAGCATATGGGGCATGTTTATACATTCGTTGTTCGAATTAAAAATGTATACGTCACCAAACTTATTTGCACAAAATCCAAAATAGCACCGTTAAAAATAATATCCCTACCTCGCCTTGAGCTATGCGCTGCCGTAATACTCGAGCGCGTAGCAAATAAAGTCTAACTGAAATTAAAATTAAACATCAAAAATAAATAGTTTTGGACGGACTCGTCTATAACATTAGCTTGGATCACTTCCCCGTCGTCAAAGTGGAAAACTTTCGTGGCTCACCGAGTAAGTGAAATACAGGATATGACCAGGTTAAATGAATGGAACCACGTGAGCACTCACGATAATCCAGCCGATTTAATATCTCGCGGTTGCAGTGCCGATCAAATAATAAATAATGATTTATGGTGGGAGGGCCCTCATTAGCTCGCCGATAATTCCGAAAACTGGCCAAAATCAAAGATCAACGTTAACGCCGGTATAATACCGGCAGCAAAAGAAAAATCACTTTATTGATAGAACCTGTAAATGAAAACTTAATTAAAAATTATTCATCGTGGCATAAATTATTATGAGTGTTTTCCTATTGTTTGCGTTTTATTAAAATCCGTGTCAAAAAACTTGAAATCATGGGTCCCATTCAACTCGAAGAGCTACGAACAGCTGAAATTGCCGTTATAAAATTAACACAATCATACTACTGGGCAAGTGAAATAACTAGTTTAATAAATAATTCTATTCTACCAAACAACAGTAAATTGAGAAATTTGTAACCTTTTATAGAAAACGGAATTATGAGAGTCGGTGGTCGATTACAAAACGCTGTATATTTGGACCAATTTCAGCGTAATCCTATTTTAATACCTCAAAATAGAGCTATTACAAATTTAATATTTCAAAATGAACATGAAAAACTGATGCTCGCCGGTCCTCAAGCCATGTTAGCCAATACAAGATTGAAGTATTGGATAATAGGCGGTCGAAATACTGCAAAACATATTTTCCATAAATGCATTAAATATTTTAGACTCCAACCTATTATAGTGGAACCCATAATGGGAAATTTTCCAGCGGAGCGCCTAGAACCATGTCGAGCTTTTAAAAAATGCGGGGTGGATTTCACCGGTCCAATCACAATCAAAACCAGTTTAAGAAAAAGAGCAGCAGGGACTAAGGGCTACATTTGAGTCTTCGTTTGTTTTAGTACTCGTGCTGTCCACATAGAACTAGAAAGTGATCTGACCAGTGATGCATTTTTGAATGCATTAAAAAGATTTATTGGTCGTCGTGGCATATGCTTTGATATATATAGTGACAATGCCACTAATTTCGTCGGGGCCAATAAAAAACTTTTAGAGCTTAAATGTTTGTTTCAGTCAGCGATTCATTTGGATAAAATGTATAATGCGTTAGCAAAAGAAGGTATTAATTGGCATTTTATTCCCCCCCGATCGCCTCATTTTGGTGGGTTATGGGAGGCTTCTGTAAAATCTATAAAAACTCACCCATTCCGGGTATTAGGCGAATCTCATTTGACATATGAGGAATTAAATACCATCTTAATAAAGATAGAAGCTGTCTTAAATTATCGCCCTCTCACTCTTCTTTCCTCCGATCCTATGGACGCGACACCATTAACACCAGCTCATTTCCTTATTGGTGAACCTATGTGTTCGGTACCTGAACCTGACTTATCGTCGGTACCTGATAACCGCTTGAAGGGATGGCAGCGCGTGACTCGACTTACGCAGTGTCTTTGGAAACGTTGGAGTGACGAATACTTATCCCAGCTACAGACAAAAAAAAAATGGTTGTCAAAAAAAGGTCCAAATTTAAGCGTTGGTACTTTGGTACTAATTAAGGAAGACAACATAACTCCTTTGTCATGGTCTCTTGGTCGCGTAGTACGTGTGCAGGCTGGAGCTGACGGGGTCGTTCGAATGGCAACTGTTTTGAGTCGTGGGAAGGCAGTAAAAAGGTCTGTCGGAAAATTCTCTTCTTCGAGTTCACTCAATTCATTCTGCATATCTGTCTTTGAAAACCTCGACAACACTATAAAGAAATTTTAGGAACTTGAAGAATTGCAAACCACTCATCACCTCAGTATAGATGACTCTACTGCAGAGAAATTCTATCAACAGACTACAACACGCCTTGAATCAGGACGATTAATGGTTAAACTTCCCCTCAAGTCACCACTCCCCTTATTAGGCGATTCAAGAACCATGGCTCTTCACAGATACAGATCGTTGGAGATCAGACTTAGTCGAGATCAACATCTTCGCCAACAATATGTTGAGTTTATGCAAGATTATGTATCAAATAACCACATGGAACTCATTCCTGCCGAAGATAAAGATGTTCCGTATAATTATTATATTCCTCATCATTGTGTGCTTTGGCCAGATAGTCTAACTCCAAAATTGCGTGTTGTTTTTAATGCCTTTGCACGAAAAACTACGGGAACACCTCTAAATGATCTTTTGTATACAGGTCCCAAATTACAACCTGACACCCAAGTGGTTCTATTACGCGCTCGACTATGGAAATATCTGTTTATGGCCGACATAAAACAGATGTACAGTCAGATTATCGTGGATCCTCCTGATCGAAATTATCTAAGGATTCTTTGGCAAGTCACCGTAGATTCACCTATTGAGGAGTATCGATTATGTACAGTCACTTATGGTACATCTGCAGCTCCATACCAAGCTCTTCGAACTGCTCGAGAGTTAGCCACGGTGGATGGTCAAAGATTTCCATTAGCTGCTGAAGTGCTGTTACATGACACTTTTGTTGATGATATCATTACTGGTGCGAATACGAAAAAGAAACTGCTATTGAGGGAAGAAACTGCTCTTGAGTGCCAAAACCAAGTAATCAATCTATGTGGACTTGCCAAGTTTGAATTACGCAAATGGGCTAGTAACAACACAAACATCATTCAAGAAGTCCCATGTGAGGCGCGTGCTATGTCCCCGTCGTTGTTATTCAATTCGGCTGATCATGCTGAGTTCAATGTTTTAGGATTGAAATGAGATCCATTTGCAGACATTTTTTCGTTTTACACTCAACCCTCGTCAAAAGACCCTCCCAAAAGATCAGTACTGTTGGACCTTGCTCGAACGTTTGACCCATTAGGGTTACTCTCGCCAACTACATTCTGGATCAAGCACTTTATGCAGTGTATGTGGATTTCTGGAATAAAATGGGACGCTCCTTACCATCCGACCTTTCCACGCTATGGAAGAGGTATCAGTCGGAACTTCATTTAGTTAACACGCTTGTCATTCCTCGTCACATTACTGAAGATTGTGCTATCTCAGTCCAGCTGCATGCCTTTTCGGATAGTTCTCAAAAGGGATACGCAGCATCAGTCTATCTCCGTGTCGAAACTGCGACTTCAGTACGTTGCCATATTGTTACAGGCAAGACCAGAGTCGCACCTCTAAAACATGTTACCATTCCCCGTTTGGAACTATGTGGAGCCGTTCTTGCAGCACAACTTCTTCGTTACACCGTCTCAACGTTTCAAGATCGTCTACACATCGAAAACTAAATGCATGGACTGACTCTACCACAGCCCTTGCTTGGATTCGATCGTCACCACATCGTTGGACGACTTTTGTTGCAAATCGTACAAGTCAAACACAAGAGTTGACATCTCCATCTATTTGGAGACACGTTCCAACTCTCAGCAATCCCGCTGACTGTGCATCTCGTGGATTATATCCGTCAGCTCTCATAAATCATTCACTATGGTGGACTGGCCCACCTTTCTTATTAAAACCTCCAGATCAATGGCCAGCTTTTCTCGACGTTCCTCAAGATGCCAGCGATACAGTGCCTGATTGATATTGAGGTTAGAAAATCTGTTGATGTATTCATGACCGTAAGTTCTTCCGCTACAAAATTACTAGATCGTTTTTCGTCGCTAGACAAAATTGTTCGAATTATTGCATACTGTTTAAGCGTCAGAAATGTTAAAGAACCGGAACAACAAACCACATCAGTTCTGAACGCGGATGAAATACATCACGCCTTGTCTGCTCTCATATTTTCTGTACAAAAATCCGTGTACCAGGACGAAATCGTACTACTTACGAAACATTTACCTAACCACTTCGTAAATTGAACCTATTTATTGATCACGCTGGATTTCTCAGAGTGGGCGGTTGCCTTCAGAATGCCGAATTTCCGTATAAGCAGAAACATCCGCTCCTCCTACCGTCACATAATCGATTGACAGATCTGCTCATTGACCACCACCATTGCAAATTGAAACACCCCGGTCCGTCTGCTCTCCAAACTCACTTACAACGTACGTTTTGGATCCAGTCATCCCGGAAAGTAATCCGTTCACGTTTGAGGCATTGTCTTGCATGTTTCCGTACAAGGCCACAATCCGTTCAACCAAAAATGGCTGCGCTTACTAAGTACCGCGTCCAACAAATTAAACCCTTCACCATCACTGGACCAATCACTTTAAAGAGTCATGTAGGACGAAAGTCAAGTTCAAAGTTGGCCTATATATGTATGTTTGTCTGCACAAATACGAAAGCGGTTCACTTAGAATTGAGTTCTGATTTGTCAACAGAAACATTCCTATTGGCTTTAACACGTTTCACATATCGTCGCGGTCCAGTGAATGAAATCCACAGCGATAACGGTACGAACTTTGTTGGAGCATCACGCCTGTTGAACCCAATACAAACGTTAACTAACTCACAATCATTCCAAACTCGCGTACGTGCCCATCTGGCCGCATCCAGCATAAAATGGCATTTCAACCCTCCTTCGGCTCCTCATTTTGGGGGATTATGGGAAGCCCGAGTGAAATCCACAAAGTCACTTATTTTTCGCTTTATTGGACTCCATAAGTTAACGGCTGAAGAGTTTATGACACTTTTAACCCAAGTTGAAGCTACGCTAAACTCGCGGCCACTATGTGCCTTAAGCAATGACGTATCAAATTTCGACGCTCTCACACCAACTTCACACCACTTCTTAACTCTGGAACCATCTACGTCTCTTCCAGACCCCAACTTAGACAATGTACCGCTATCAAAACTGACTCGTTGGCGTCTTATATCAGATATTCATCGTCACTTCTGGTCTCGCTGGAAGAATGAATATCTCACTATACTTCAGGTTCGTTCAAAATGGTGCTCAAATAGGAAACAGTTAAATGTTAGCGATCTCGTTCTTATTCGAGAAGCCACACATCCACTACAATGGTCAGTGGGAAGAACTCGTCAACTTCATCCAGGTTCAGACAGAATAACCCGGGTTGCAATAGTGGATATTGCCACCGGATCTTTTGTTCACCCAGCTGTTAAACTGTTCCCCTAAATTGCATTTATTCCAAGAATTCCCATGATTCCCTCAGACTTGCCGTTTTCTTTCAAACGGCTTCAATTCCCGGTTAAAGTTTCTTTTGCCATTACGATAAACAAAGCGCAAGGTCAAACATTCAAGTACATTGGCATAGATCTTCATACAGAGTGCTTTTCACATGGACAAATACGTGGCATTTTCTCGAACTGGGGACCCGAATCATATTATGATATTAATTTCAACAGGAGATAAAACAAAAAACTTCATATACTCAGAAGTCTTATAAATTTATTATATTAATTATTTATCAACAATAATATTATTTTTTTTATTTTTATAAAGCTAGAAAAATTAATGTAATTATTTATACATATATTGTATTTATTATATTATATATTATTTATATAAGTTTGAGTCGTATATATTTGGTACATTTAACGGATAACGAAGTACACGGGATTAGCTAGTATTATTATAATTGTTTATATGCATGACCCTCATTATAATAATATTATCTTATTTTATTTTTGTATACTATTTAATGCATGTTATTATATTTATTGTATTTGTGCGTTCATTGCACTATGGGGGTTTCGCGCTTTCTGTCACAGAACACGAGACCGGTCCGGTGTAATCACTGATTCACCCGGTCTAGGCTCTTAAATTCTGTCACAGAACACGGGACCGACCCGATGTAATCGCCGATGAACCAGGTATAAAAGGCCTAACGACACTACCATTTGTATCATTCTTCGTCTTTCCGAACTCGTAGCAAGGCCCACCCGGGCAGTCTTGCACGATTAGGAAGGACGAACTCCCCATACCTTCTCGGACGGTTTGTGGAGCGGTCAAATGTTGCAATAGTCGGAGTTATTCTGGCATTGCATCGATCGGTACACTTACCCTATGGTGCAATACCACACCGTCCGACAAGGCCCTCTCTCCCGTTGTATCGATAGTGCGCCCAGGGCCCCCGTCGTGTCATTAGTCCGCCCAGTGCCGTGATCAGCAGTGCCCTATTACGGGCCTATCACGTTTTTTGTAAATGTACCTTAATTTTTCGTAAAGTGTGTTCATTCAGAACGTTTAAAATATATTATACTAATAAACAATTGCTGTTATTTTTCGTTCAAACAGTAATGATCTTGGAGATATTACTATTTTTTTCATCCGAGTACAAGTGTTTGGTAGTAGAGCAAGTAAAATAGGTAGTAATTTTTCTTTTATTAGACATTATAAAATAGACTATAGACAATTTCTATTACAATTTACAGCAGACTTGCAGACAGTATATTATATCACGCGTGACACAGTATGACAGTACGAGACACGAGTGACGAGTACGAAAACACTGTGGTCTGTGTAACAAAATATTGTGACAAATGTAATAATAATCGATGAATTGGCCAACTATAATGACATAGCTACATATTATTGTATTAATACGTTTTAGCTGATGGGCTGGTCAGGGGAGGAGTATGTTGTTATTGAATATTCATGATCACCGAGCTGGGTAATATCCGCGTATTTTGTATAAGCAACTAATTAATAAATATTAATAATAATATTAGCCTTGTTCCTAAACGAGTCCAGAATCTAGATAATAATAATATACGCCTATAAGCGTTATTTTGGGAAAAAATTAAAACAAAATGTAATACATTAACATAATAGTAAAAATAGTACAATATACATAAATGTAATTGTTATAAATATTAAAGAAAAAAATAGGGGGATCTATCCCCTCCCCTCCCCAGTTTGACCTCCACTGCCTCGAGTTCACATGAACGATATTGTCAGCCGTTATAAATTATATTAATATGCTACGTATTATACCAATGATAATAATATTCCATTATAAAGTACATACAACACATTATTTTTATTAATTATTTAAAAAATAACACGAAACATATCAATTGGAATTTGGAATCACTACAAAAAAATATGACACAGTAAAACAGTATGCAAAGCGTGAATTCAGAGCAGCTAGAGGTCGCAACTATAGTCGGGTGAATGAAAAGTGGTCGTTGGCAATATGATAGGAAAATTTTATTTTTTCGATAAGCAGTGGATTCTCAAAGTGGATCACGTAAAGACGTAATTGCATTATGATTAATTATTCAAAATACGAGCGCTTTTTTCCATAATTTTGGGGTACAATGATAAAAATTCACCGCTAGGCGCGTGGGCATCAGCGGCCACTTTTCATTCACTCGACTATAGCAAGGACGCGCGCAGCCGTTACGAGTAAAAGTGGTGGGGATCGACGAGGTTTCGTCCGGCGCGCACCAATGGTCTCTCCTCGATTCATTTACGCATCAACTGATAATGGCGTCAACAGTTTCATGCCAAAATCCAAAATTATTGACAGCAAACAGTTTTGACGTTTAGTGGCTGCAGCGAATCGTGGAATAAACACAAGTGAACCGACTTTCTACAAATTACAAAAATAATAAATTATCTACACTGCGTTATTTCATATTGGTCTCTTGCCACGTGGGATGCGCTTTTTAAATCAGGTAAGTACAAAATACTTAACATAAAATAGTCATCGTTTATAGGTATTATAGATAATACTTAAGCTCGCAAAATGACAACAATAAGGCAATAAATCAATTAATGTATTTTCACACGATTTGGCCGATACTGGATATATGCAAGGCCGTAGCCAGGGAAGCGGCGTTTCAGGGCTCAAACCCTCCCGAAATTTCTGGCTAAGGTCTTGATTTTCATATTTTATTATATAACATAACATATTTATACTCAAACCCCCCCTACCTAAATATTTTTCTAGCTACGGTTTTGGATATATGTATCAAATGCGGGCCCTCGACTTCCCTCTTATAAACGACGACTCCCACCTCTGTCACAAGTCTAATTCCTCATTAGCTTATATCAATTTTAGGTATAAATAAATAAATTAGATTATATCATTATTCATATTTATTTCACTAGGTATAATTTTTAAGAGCACCCATACATTTGTTGTCTCCTGACGCAACCTAACCTAACCCCAAATTCTGAGATGCTAGCGGTCGCCAGGTGGCCTGTTGTCGTTACGAGTAAAAGGCGGGGTCGACGAATTTTCGTGCGCTGCGCAATTCTGTTCTCCGGCGCATGGGTTTACTTATGCGTATGCTACCCACGTGTTTGTTGTCTCCTGATACAACCTAACCTAACCCCGAATTCTGAGTAGCTGGCGGTCGCCAGGTGGCCTGTTGCCGTTACGAGTAAAAGAGGCGGGGTCAACGAATTTTCGTGCGCTGCGCAATTCTGGTCTCCGGCGCACGGGTATACTTATGAGTTATGGGTATGCTACCCACGTGTTTGTTGTCTCCGTCCTACCAACTTACGACATACAACATTTTCGTTCACTAGTTTCAATAGTGTGCAGTTAGTTTTGATATTAGAGAGAATTGAACTATTATCAAAGTCTTAGGTAAGAACATTATCTATGCTTAAGCGTCGGTGGACTTTTGGATATTTAAAAAGTCAAGCGAGGTATGAGCGTTTTTGATTTGTGTTATACTTATTTCACATACTCGTATCTCGCTTTAAAATGAAAATATCGAAAATCCGCCGACGTTAAAGCATACATAATATTCTTACCTAAAAGTTTGATAATACCAAATTCACTCTAATATCAAAACTAACGGCACGCTATTCAAACTAGAGAACTAAAATTTGTTATGTCGTAAGTTGGTAAGACGGAGACAACAAACACATGGACATGGGTAAACATCTAACACCTTAAGTAATAAAATAAAATAAATTAATAAAATAAATTAAATAAACGTGTTGTATGTACTTTATAATAGAATATTATTATATTATTATCATTGGTATAATATCTAGCATATTATTATAACGGCCGACAAAAACGTTTATTTGAACTCACTACGTATACAAAATAGTTTTAGTCGTAGAGAGGGCATATTTGACGGAGGGCCTGTATTCCCGTTAGTCGTATGCACGGAACGGTCCTGGGCTCTCGACGAACAGAGTATAGGTAGTAGTACGCTACCATAGTGTAGGGTTGCCATAAAAGTTCAAGTACTGACCGGGACATTTACAAAAATAATTTGAACCTTTTTTTTTTTAATATTAAAATTTAGAACACAGTGTAATGAATATATATATAATATATAGAATAAAATAATAATAGTATTGAATTATGAAAGACATTAAATTAGAAGATACATTTGATTAACGAAATATTATTTATTTATTTTGAAATATTATATTTTTCTGACTTTTTCACCTGTTTCAATAGCTCTGGTTTTCCCATAGCATACGTATGAAATTCAACGTGAAATTCATGGTTTTAGAATACAAATATAATTTTTATAGAAACATAATTTAATATAATTATTGGTACTAATATTATTTACACATAACCGGGACTTTTGTAGGGTCTAGTGGGACGACCGGGACCGAAGTCATGAACTGGTGACATGTCCCGGTGTACCGGGACGTATGGCAACCCTACCATAGTGGCATAAACGCAAGTGCGCAACAATTTTACCTAGCCTACCTCAAAATTAAATCATTCAATTAAAACTTTCTGGTTTTTAAAAATTCACCATATTTCAGATTTCAATGAAATAAACATAATATTAAATATAATCGTATTTTTCCTTTTTTTGCCACTGGTCGATAATATGATATCTACCTACCCAATGAACTAGTTATCCTAAATAATTTTAAGGGTGAATGCCAGTATTTAAATAATACATATGAATGCAAGGATCCTCGTAGATATAAATATGCATATTATGTTAACAAACAAATAGGTTACAAAAAATGTTTATTACCTACCCTAATGATGAGCTTATCAATCACAGTAATTTAGCTAATTTTGAGTATATAACAGGTATATAGTAAATTAAAAATCCTCATTACTCACTTCAAAAGTGAAAAATCGTGGAAAAACGCTCATGTAAACACAAATAATGTTTCTTACCATCAAGTTTCAGAATAGTTCGATTCACTTTAATTTATAAAATTTAAGT